ACCTCAATATAATAAAGGTCGTTTATGACAAACCAACAGCCAGCATCATACTAAATGGCCAAAAATTGAAAGCTTTTACTTTAAAATCAGGCACAAGACAAGGATGTCCTTTAACACCACTCGTATTTAATATAGTACTGGAAGTACTAGCCAGAGCAATTAGGCAAGAGAGAGAAATAAAAGAGGTAAAGATAGGAAAAGAAGAAGTTAAATTATCATTGTTTGCAGATGACATGATACTCTACATAGAAGACCCCCTAAACTCCATTGAAAGGCTCTTAGATACAATAAATAAATTCAGTAATGTGGCTGGATACAAAATCAATACTCAGAAATCAATAGCATTCCTATACATGAACAACAAAATCACAGAGAGGGAAATGAGCGAAACTACACTCTTCACATTAGCAAGCAAAAAAATGAAATATTTAGGAATTACTCTTACAAAAGAAGTGAAAGACTTATATAGTGAAAATTATACACTGAAAAAAGAAATTGAAGATGATCTCAGAAAATGGAAAGACATCCCTTGCTCATGGATAGGAAGAACAAACATTGTGAAAATGGCCATTCTCCCAAAACTGTTATACAGATTCAATGCAATCCCAATAAAAATACCATCAACATACCTTATAGATCTAGAGAAATCACTCCTAAATTTGATCTGGAACTGGAAGAGACCTAGAATAGCAAAGGCAATTCTAAGCAGCAAAGACAAAGCAGGAGACATCACAATCCCTGACTTGCAGTTATACTACAAAGCAACAGTAGTAAAATCAACATGGTATTGGAATCAAAACAGAGCCGAAGATCAATGGAATAGATTAGAACATACAACCACAACTACAAACACACTCAACCACCTTATCTTTGATAAAGGAGCCAAGCAGGTTCACTGGAAGAACGACAGTCTCTTTAATAAATGGTGCTGGAAAAACTGGCTCTCCATTTGCCAAAGACTAAAGCTAGACCCGTGTCTATCACCATGGATTAAATTAAAATCTAAATGGGTCAAAGATCTGAATATTAAAACAGAAACACTAAATATATTGGAAGACAAATTGGGTAGAAACCTTAAAGACATAGGAGTAGGTAGAGAATTCATGAACAGGACTCAAACCGCACAGGAAATACTTCCCAGAATCAATAACTGGGACCACTTCTTATTAAAAAGTTTCTGCATGTCAAAAGAAATCTCCAGCATAGTGAAAAGAAAACCCACAAACTGGGAAAAGATTTTAGTGAACTCTACCTCAGACAAGGGACTCTTGTCTAAAACATATAAAGAATTAAAAAAACTCAGACCCCCCAAATTCAAAGATCTGGTCCAAAAATGGGCATCTGAGATGAATACACACTTCTCAGATGAAGAAATGCAGATGGCAATTAAATACATGAAAAAATGTTCATCATCATTGGTCATTAGAGAAATGCAAATTAAAACCACACTGAGATACCATCTCACTCCTAAAAGAATGGCCAGGATCAAGAAAACCAACAACAAATGCTGGAGAGGCTGTGGGGAAAAAGGAACACTTTTGCACTGTTGGTGGGAGTGTAGACTGGTGCAGCCTTTGTGGAGGTCAGTCTGGAGATTTCTCAAAAAGCTGGGATTGGAAGTCCCCATTTATTCCAGCTATTCCACTTCTAGGCATATTCCCAGAAGAACTGAAAGCATCATACCACAATGATATATGTGCACCTATGTTTATAGCAGCACAATTTGTAATCGCCAGATCTTGGAAACAACACAAGTGTCCATCAACTGAGGAATGGATAAAAAAGCTGTGGTATTTCTATACAATGGAGTATTATTCAGCTGTAAAGAAGGATCACATTGAGATTTTATCAATAAATGGGCGCAGCTTGAGACCATGCTCATAAGTGAAATAAATCAATCTCGCATGTGTGAATACCGAATAGTTTTCCTAATGTAAGTAATGATTCAAATATATAAAAATATGTGGTAATCATGATTCCCCATTATGTGGCCTTGAAGCCTTATAAAGTTTTCACTTATTAATTGGAAAGGCTTTATTCTGGGCTTCTTGATATGGAAATATTTGAAGCTATAGTATATGAAGTTTTATTCAAATATTTCAAGGAAAAAGACAGACAGTATGGTAACTACTATTAAGTCGGGTTATTTGGTGGTGAAGCACTAGGTTGCTGAAACAGTCATGTTTTGACCTGTCTTGTTATATTTTTATGTCCTGTTTTATCTCTATCTCTCCCTTATTCATTAAAAAATTATTTCTTGTTTTTTTTTAATTAAGGGGAAAAATTTTAAAAATTAGCAGGATATATAATAGTAATTTTTTTTGATTTCCTATTAACTTGTTTTGAAGTCCTGTAATACTCCCACTATTTTGTTTTGACTGATTAGACTCTGTTCCATTCTGTATGATAGTATCAAGTTTGAGGGTATAGACAACTCCTTTGAAGGCAGTAAGATTCACTAATATGCCCATTCTGGTTTGACTATTCTCTCCTTTGGATGTCCTGTAATGTTTACAATGCTTAAGTTTTATTGGTCTTGTTCTCTACTGTTTTGTTCAACTTTATAATATCTAATAAGATAGACAATTCTTTTTAAGGAAACAAGAGACATTGTTGGTAACCATTGTCGATAACCTTGTACTCTGTTTTACATCATGTGCTATGTCTATCCTTGGTTTTGACTGACAGCTTTGTTTTGCCATATTTGACTTTATTCTCTCCCCCCAAAAAGTAATAAGAACTAAGGAGTAATAAAACCCAAAATGTGTAAATTTTGTTGTAAAAAAGAAAGGGAAAAAAAGAGCTCTACAGGATACAACAGCAAGTGTGTTTAGGGGTGTTAAATAGCTGACCATATTAATGTTTTTGGTTGGATATTGAACAAAACTGTTTGCAGTCTCACTGTTCGAATGTCCACTTTGTATGCTTTGATACTGTGATTTGAGCAACTATCTCTAAGATGATAATATGTAATCTATTAACTAGTGATATCTTACTTTTTTTTATAGTTCTGTATTACTTGTACCCTTACACCGCTTTGTTTTGTTTTGTTTTTTCTTTTTCCTTTTAAATAAAAAAAAAGAAATAAGGCAGGACTTTTCTATGTGTACTAAATTTACCAAGATTTTAATATCAACCAAAGTTTGAGAAATACTGAGGGGAGAGTTTAAAAGATATCTCCAGTCTTCTTTTCTTCCAGCCTAGTAAGTTTTTAAAGGGGAAGTAGAGAAAATGGGATAGGAGAAGGTTTACTCTTTGAAGGTCTCTTCTATGTCAGCAAAGAAGGCAGTGTACTTTCATATGTTATCACACTAAATCTTCACTGTAGCATAGTGTGGTAGATGTTACCTGCATTTTACAAATGAGCAAACTGAAGCTTATACTAGGTCAGTAAACGTTTCAGGGTGGTATAATGTATCATGACCAGGATTTGAACTCCTTTGACTTCTTTTAGAATACAAAAACATTTTTCCCACTCTATTCATTCCTTCAGCAACACAAATTGGTCTGAGTGTTTTCTCATCTGTATCATGAGGTTGATAACAGTAACTTATTGAGCTATGAAAATGAAAGGATATATGCAAAACACTTAAAGAAAGTACTAAAAAATTCTGATGTAAGCACAGTGTTAATATCTTCCTCCTCCTCTCCCCTCAGTCTCTTCCTCCTGCTCCTCTTCCTCAGATAATCATTACTGTTGTTGTGGCTATGTAACAGTTCTTGTATTAGACAGTAGGGACACATTGCAGTACTTAACCTCAAATAATTTTAAGAACAGTGGGAAGATTACACAGTTCAAAACAACATGCCATTTCTCCTGGGCATCCATTATAAAATACATAAATAGAGACAGGTAGTAAAACATGGTGGGTGTGAATCTTATGTAGGCCAAGGTCCAGGTCAATTGAAAGATTTCCCATACATCAGCCTTTCTTTGAGTACAAATTTAAAACTGTGCTTCAGGAACATTAGTGATAAGAGCATATAGATCTTCAGATCACTCAAAGAAAGAATCTTTGAACACTGATGGTTTGCAGTGGTTCTTTCTATCATACCTATTTTTAAAACTCTCAGGCTGACGTTTTCTAATGGAAATATATACATAAGCACAATGATTAAAAAACAAAGGAAACTGATTTATCTTATATAATTTACCTTTCAAGGTAGTGGAGAGAATAGAGCTTTTGAGACTCTTTGGTTAATGGCTTGATTTTTATGACTCAAAACAGATTCACTAGAATGCAAGAAAAACTGAATTTGAAATTAGTTTTACTGCTGTTGAATACTGGAATTTAGATAAGAGGACTTTTTCATTAAATTGAGATTTTAGATGTTTTTAACCCTTCAAAATTTTCTACTGATGTTTGAATAATTACTGATAATCTACTTGCTTATACCAATGGCCCCTAGGTATCAGCACTAAGATGTTTGGGATGTAGATAGGAATGAGAATAGTTAGGTAGGAAATACTGGTAAATTAGCAGATCGAGATTTTTGTGATATACTATGTTGAAAAGAAAAATACTTCAGAAGATCTGAAACTATGTCTACATAATCTAATTATTTTACAAGAATTCATCTCATTAGGTCTTTTGAGTGTCACTGCATGAAGAAAAGTTTTATTATTTTGGTTTTCTTGTTGCACGTTCAGATTTCTCTTTCTCTGTCATATGACAATTTCTATGTAGTCCAAGATGCTGCATTGTTACATTTTCTCCAGGATTAATATTTGGATGACATTCTTCAAAGTTTTGTTTTTGTCAAAAGAGTCATTTTTGATGTAAAGAGTTTTTATGTAAACAGAAAACTTAGTGGTTGTAACAAGCAGAATCACATCTCCTAACACTTGAAATGTATTTGAAGATATTCAGGAATAATTTATGAATAAGATATCAAATATTTTGTTAGGCACAAAATTTGAGTTTTTGTTTTGTTTTGGTATTTAACATTCTTATGTATTCCACTGAAAATATTTCATGTTTTTATTTATTTTATTCCAGGTACAAAAGATTCTGAGGGAAGAAAGTATGCAGCTGATTGTTATTCTTTTTGTTTCATTGAAGTGACCAATTTTAAATGAAAATGTCAATTTGAAGTTCTAGTTTTCCTCCTGATTCAGATTCAGTGTGTTTTCTCTTTTTTTTGTTATTAAAGAGACAAGGAAATAAAACTTGACATTTTTTTCTGTGTAAATCCCAAACTTTAGGTTTGATAAAATACTATGATTTTTCTCTTTATATACTCTGTATTAAGAACATACATGTATTTTACATTTATAAAGTTATTTATTTCTCTTATCACTCAATAGCTAAGGAACATTTCTGTCTTCCCACATTTCCCCAATCAGCCCTTCATCTTCCATCCCTTCACTTTTCCCTTATTTTCTTGCTTTTGCCTTAGCCTCTTCTCTCTTCCACTCAACTGGCTATTCTGATGTTTTTCTAGTTTACCCCACGGCTTTGCTCAAAGAAGTGCAAAATGGAGGAAGCGGAAAATCAAACACAGCATATTATAGTGATGCATGCTTATACTGGCTCAGTTCACAATAGCTAAGCAGTGAAAATCTAAGTGGACATCCATCAACATATGAATGGATAACATTTTATATATGATATACATGCGTGTGCATACCTACACATTTTTCAGTTATACAGAAGAATGAAATGTTATTTGTAGAAAAGTGGATAAAACTATCATGTTATATGAAATAACCATAGTCAGAGGGTTTTAATGTAGCATATTTTCTCTTGTATGAGGAACCTAAAATATGAATAAATATCTAAAATAAAGGAGAAATGATAGGAAACTAGAAGACTCCTTTTTCCCCCTCTTTTCTTCCCCTTTCCCTTCTCCTCCTCAGTCTTTTCCTTCTCCTTCTTCTCTTATAATTCTTATCAGTACAAATATGTTATTTCATTTTTCTGGATTTCTTCCCTGTAGTATCTGTCTATGTTATGCTTTCTTTTTTAAAAAATGTGAATTAAGTTTATTGGTACATAGTAAATATACATAATGAAAACACTCATCATAGGGGTTTTGTACCTGTATGTGATATATCTTGCTTCTCTTGCTTCTCTTTTTCCATTCCTCTCCCCTCCCTTCAACCTGTCTTCCCTTCCTTATTTACAAATCTTTGTTGCCCTGTTTTTTTCTCATTTTTTCTTTTCTCTTCCTTTCTTTCTCTTTCTCCCTACCTTCCTATTTGAACATTTTCTTCCCATTTCTCAACATCTATTACATATCTTGGTCTTTATTTACCCTTTCATTTTCTCACAAGACAAACAATATGATATTTACACATTTGTCTGATTTATTTCACGTAAGAGTATAGTCTTAGAATTATAGTCCTGTCTTGGTTACTTTTCTCTTATTGCTGGGACAAAATACCCAACACTAAAAGTGAAGGAAGAAAAGGTTTATTTAGCTCACGTTTGTGGAGGTTTCAGTCCATAATTAGCTAATTCCAAGGCAGGGTGGCATGGCACATAGGCAACACTTGAAGGTAGCAGCCAGCAAAAGCAGCCAAAGCAAAAGAGGGGAGAGTAAGCCTCTTCTCTTCCCTTATATTGTAAGCAGGCTACCCTTCATCCAGAGTGAGTATAGCACTCGCACAACCTCTGTGCCCTCTTCTTGCACAGGATGAGGATATTTACCAAGTAAGGATCCTGGCTCCCTGCTGAGTCTAAGTTAAATTTCTTACCTAGAAATGTTTTAGGTTTATCTTTATGGCTGAGGAGTACTCCATCCATTGTATAAAAAAACAACTTTATCTGTTTATCAGTTGATGGGCATTTATGCTATTTCCAAGATTTAGGAATTACAAACTGTGCTGCTATAAACATGAACATGTATATATCACTGTGATATAATGTTTTTAATTCTTTTGGGAAGATACCAAGAAGGGGAATAGCTGGCTAGAATGAAACCTCTAGGTTTGATTTTTTGAGAGATCTCCATACTGATTTCTGTAGTAGTGGCACCAGTCTATACTTCAACTAACAATGGAGAAGGGTTCTTTTTTTCTCCTCACAGCCCCTACAGAATTTGTTATTGGTTGATTTCTTGATGATAGGCATTCTTTCTGGAGTGAGATGGAATCTCAGTGTTGTTTTAACTTGCATCTCTTGAATGACCAGTCATATTAAACATTTTTTTCATGTATTTATTTGCTGTATGTACTTCTTCATCTGAGAAGTGTATATTCACTTCAGATACCAATTTTTGAACTGGGTTTTAAAATTTGAGGATATGAAATTTTTTTTTAGTTTTCTGACTTTGCATGAAAGTAAAATCAAAATGGATCAAAGTTCTAAATATAAAACATAAATATTAAATCTACTGGAAGAGAGAATAGGTAGAACTCTTGAAGACATAGACGTAGGCAAAATTTTTATGAACAAAACTCTGATTGCATGGGAAATATTATAAAGAATCAACAACTTGGCTGTCATCTTACTAAAAAGCTTCTGCATAGCAAAAGAAATCACCAACAGAATGAAGAGACAATACATAGAGTCAGAAGAATTTTTATGTGCTTTCTTATTAAAGAGAAAACTTCTTAGCTGGAATCAACTCATATAAGGCTTTTTAAAGGTTATTTTTAATTGGTCAGATTTCTTTTAGTAATAAGAGCGATGGAAAGCTAAGAAAAATAATGAAGAAACCACTCAAGTATGAATTTAGCAAGAAGAAGTAAAGATGATGTTGTAGTTAGGGGTTGCAAGAAGAACAATTACATGCAGTACACATAATTTATAGTATTATTTATAATGGCCACCCAAGAAGTCAAATACAAAGAAAGTTCAGGAAATTTGTCTACAACACTAGAGTCCTAGAAAATCCAGCTCATGGGCCTGGATCCTATGGTAATAACCTGCATGAATTCAGCTAAAAGCCTAGAGCCCTCAGCAATGATTCATGCAAGTCTGTTTCACGGATCTGTACTCAGAAAGCCCAAAGGTCAGAGATGGAAGCTAGAAAATCTGTGCGGTAGGTTGAGGGTTCTGCACTGGAGTCAAGAACCTAAGCTCAAAATAAGGACCAGGCTCCCCCCAAAATACCGTATAGCCATCCTCAGTGACAGTGAGGTCCTGAGTTCCTCTAACGGTAACAGCTGAGATCGTATCAGGAAGCCAGAGTGACAAGCTTCTGGAGTTTGAACAGCATACATCTCCTTCTCCAAAGCAAGGAAGTGATGCTCAAAGTAAGGGCTGGAGCTCCCCCAAAGTGAACCACAGCCACTCTCAAAAACAAGGTTCTGAGCTCCTCTTATGATAACAGCCAAGTTCATATCAGAGAGGCCAGCATGACAAACCCTCCAGGAGAACCAACAGCTCCAAACAATACTTAGGAGAATCCACTTGCTACTTTTTTTTTCTCTAGGTCTCCTTTGTATGCTGGCACCAATCCTCAGGTGGGCCATCCACACTCAGCACCACACTGACTCAGTTCAGCTGGTGTTTAAGTTGACCACCAGTTACCAATCCACTACAGATGATATAGAAGAAAATATAGTGGTGATAATAATGTCTATTTCAAGAACAGGCAGGGATTGGGAGTTATAAACTGGTCATGCATCTGAAAGTAACATTATAACAGCAAAGATTTCTTTTGTATTATGTACTAGAGGAAGAACTTTCCCCAATTATTTTCTAAAAATAATGTGTAATTCTCATTGAAATTCTACACATTTTATATGGTAGTCTTGCAGCTACCCTGCCTGTTTTAAGTAGACTTAATATATATATATTTATCATTTTAAAAATTCAGCAAATGTAGGCTAAAATAAAAAATATATAATCTCAGCACATTAAGGATTGCAGTTATATTTTGGGGATATATTCTTTCAGTATTTTGAATGGCTGAATTTATATTTAGCTTTTCAAAAATGAGACGATACTACCCTTAGTGTTTTATAGCCTCTTTCCCTTATCTGCTGGACAACACATAATAATCTGCCTGCATCACAAAGTATCTTCTAAATCATGGTTTTTGATAACCATATCATATAGATAGGTCATATATGGTAGCCTTTTAATCTTATACTGCTGAACATTTAGACATTTTAATAAAGTATTTATTACTAATTGCACTGTTATGATTATTTTTATGATTCTTTATATAACACAATTATTATGTCACACTAAATTCTTATACAGGGCTACACAGAGCAAAGCATAGACATTTTTCAGGCTTTTGATACACAGTCCCAAGTGGCCCTCTAGAATGGTTGCTACTGATTGTTTCATCTGTCTGTGGTAATAAGTGATTTGACCTAAATTTTTAAGAAATCCATCTGTATTTCTTGTATGGAAAAATAGGGCATGTCTTGACTTTGTAATTGGTAAGATGGACACTTACACATAAGCAGCTACTCTTGTGTTGAGCTTTTTGCATTTATTTTTGTGAATGATTATTACGATTGGGCAAATAATTATATGGGTGGAGAAACAGTAGATGTGGCAGGGTTAACTGCTGCGTTTGGGAGTATTTTTTAAAGTATTCCATGTTCGAACCAGACTTTCAAAGTTCTATAATACTGGAATTTTACTGAATGACTTTCTCCAAAACAAAAAACATATATTTAGTATTCAGTATTAAATACCATATTTATAGAAAACCTTCTCAAAGGAATAGAGAAAGTATGTTTGTTAGTGTGCACACTAAGATTTATGTTAAAACCAAAAAAAAAAAAAAAGGGAGTAAAAGTGGGTCTGCAGACAAGATTGAATCTGTGCTTGGTATTCATCCATATGGTGATGATCCTGAACCCTGCAGTTCCAAGCCTATGTAATGTGGAGTATAGGCAGCTGATAGTCATTGTGGATTTAGAGTTTATTATTTTTTTTCTGAAAATGGCTATTTGGAATGCTGTAGCTTATGTTAAATTTTTAGAAAATTTGAATTGGGTTTAGTTGATTACTTTGTCAGTTAATTTGCAGCTGGTATAATCTGCTAAAGTAGATGTCAGAACTGAGCCATTACTCACAGTAGTTTGAATCTAGCCTAATTTCTGCTATTCAGGAGGGTAGGAGAGTTGTGGAGAAAAAAGTCATTTTGGATGGTTTTAACACTATGTTGTATCTGCCATAAAATTTTGCGTTTCTTTTTTAAAAAATTTTATTTAAGGAGAAAAAGAAAACAGAAAAGAGGTACAAGTTATACAGAATTTCAGAAAAAATAAACAGGAAATCACTAGTTAATAGATTACATATTTTCATCTTAGAAATAGTTGTTCAAGTTACAAAATTAAAGCATATAAAGTGGACATTGAAACAGTGAGACTGCAAAGAGTTCTGTTCAATGATCCAACAAAACTCAGTACTATGGTTATCTATCTTATACACTGAAATATGCATGTATTTATATCCTTTAGAGCACTTTCTTTTCCTCTCTTTTGTATAATGACAATTACACATTTTGGGTTTTATTACTCCCACAGTTCTTATTACTTTTTTTGAAGAGAATAAAACCAAATATGACAACAAAACAGAGTCAGTCAAATCAAAAGGATGGACATAATACATACTGTAAAAACAAAAAACAAGGTGTTCAACAATGGTTACCATAATGCCTCTTGCTATCTTAAAAAGAATTGCCTATATCATCAGTTATAATAAAATTGAACAAAACAGTAAAGAACAAAACCAATAAAACCAAAACATTAGAGACATTACAGGACTTCAAAAGAAGATAATAATCAAACCATAATGGGCGTCATAATGAATCTTATTGTCTTCACAGTTGTTGTGTATATTCTCGAACTTGGTAGTATCAAGCAAAACAGAACAGAGGGAAATCAGTCAAAACAAGATGGTGAGAGCAATATAGGGTTTCAAATCAAGTTAATAGGAAATCAAAGTGGTTTACTATGATATATCCTGCTATTTTTTTATTTTTCCCTTAAATTAAAAAGATAAAAATAAAAAGTAAATAATAAAAAAAGGAGATTGAGATAAAAGAGGACATAACAGCAAAACAGCACAGGTCAAAACAAACATTTAAGCAAAAGAGTGTTTCACTACCAGATATCCCGGCATAAAAGTAGTTACCATAGTGTCTCTTTCCTTGAAATCTTTGAGTATAACTTCGTATACTGTAGCATCAAACATATCAAGACAATGTAAAACCATTCAAGAGAATGACAGTATTACAGGGTATTTAGAACCAACTAACAGAAAATGAAAAATGGTTTGTGTATAATCTCCTTGCCTATAAAAGTTTTTGTTTATATTATCACATATAGTAAAATCCAATAAGATGCAACATGTTAAGATTGATGGAGACAGAAGGACAAAAGCTTGATGGGACTTCAAAACAAGATAATATTAAATCAGCAATAGCTATTATGATGTCTTGTTTTCTCCAAAATAGCTGTTCCTACCATCCAACCTTCTCTGCCTCATTTCTATTGAGCTCTTTTTCTGTCATTAGTTGTCAGTTTGTCTTCTTCATTTTGATTTCTGCTCCATTCATTGTAGCCTCTCTTCCACTGTTTCTGGAATCTTGGTATTTTTCTTTTTTTAAGAATGTCCAGCAGTGTTCTCTGTAGAGTTGAATTGGTGGCTGCAAATTCCCCAATTCCTCTTTATCCTGGAAGCACCTTGTTTTTCCATCAATTTCTGGGGACAGTTGTGCAGAATATATCAATCTTGGCTGGAGGTTATTATCTTTCAAAGCTTGAATTATTTCCTCCCATGCTCTTTGTGATTTGATGTTTTGTGCTGAGAAGTCTGCTGTAATTCTGATGGGTGTTCCGTTGTAAGTGATCTGTTTCTTGTCTCTGACAGCTTTTAATATTCTGTTCTTTAATTGGATTTCTGGAATTTTGATTATTATATGCCTGGGTATATTTCTGTTTGGGTTGTAGGTGGCTGGGGTCCTGTATGCCTTATACATCTAAGTATCTTTACCTTTTCTTAAATCAGGGAAATTCTCCTGGATTATTTCTGTGAATAGCCTTTGTAGTTCATTTTTTTATGTCCCTACTTCTTCCTTTATGTTTTTAATTCTTAAGTTATAGATCCTTTAATCTTCTAGCCTTTGTATTATTCCTGTTTGTTTCCTTGTTATTTTTAAGAAGTTTTTCATTTCATGCTCCCACATTACAAATCTGTCCTTCAGTTCAGATAATCTATCCTTGGTTTCTTTCAAGCTGTTATGCCAGCTTTCAATAGAGCTTTTAGTTTCCTGGTAATCTCTTTGAACCTGTTTCACGTATTCTATGTTTTCTCTATTGAACAATTCTCCCCTTTTTTTCTGTTCTTCCATTCCACCATCTGTTTTTTCTTGGGTGGTGCTTAGCATTTCTCTAACTATTCTACTTATATCTTGCTTTAGGTCATTAAATACTTCGCTTTTGAACTCGTCTATGAGACTTTATGTCTATTGGTGCTGTGTCTGATATTGCATGTTTCTGTCCTCATTCTCCTTTGCATTTACCTTTCCTGGATCAGTCTTCTCAGGATTGGGAGCCAAGGACCCTTTTTTGTTGCTCCTTCTTCCCATACTTTTTGTTCCTTCCATATAAGCATATATAGGGGGCCCAGTTTCTTTCTTCATCGGTTACAGTTTGCTTGAATCTGCTGGCTAGGTGTTCCCGCCCACTGCATTGTACTAGGGAGACACAGATCTGGGCAGCCTCTGCTGGGCCTGCCCCTCCAGGTCAGTCAACCTACTGAAGGCTTCACTGCTAGGGTACACCACCAGGCGCTGGGACCTGGTTTGGGCTAGCCTACAGGGTCTAAGTCCATGGTGTCACCCAGGTCAGGGCTCCCTACCAATCCTGCTTGAGAGGGGAATATATGACTAAAGTCACTGCAGTGTCCTGTTCTGGCTAGTCTGCCCCGTCCCAGAATGTCCTCTGTTAGAGCCTCCTAGATTATAGAAGGGTCCCCGTTCCTCTCACTCATCACAGGTTGATGCAGGGCTCCCCGCCAGTTCCACTCTCAACTCTGTTCGCCGATTCCCACTCTCAGAGATTTTGCCTCTCTGTCCCTGCTGTGTTGATTCAGACGCAGCAGCGGCGGTAGGAAATTCAAATTGCCGTGCGGGTTCCAGCTTCTGCTGAGATTTTATCTGTTCCAGTTACAGCACCAGGATTGCATTTCCAGTTGGTTTCTCTCAGCTTAGTTCTTTCCTGGTTCAGCAGGGTATATCTCCCCTTGCTTAGGACTCCTCACCCCGCACCATTCCTGGATTTTAAGCTGGGTATCTCAGGGAGCCTCCGTAGCTGCTGTTATCTATTCGCTATGTTCTCCTAGAAGAAAATTTTGCATTCCTTAATCCAAAAAAATTTTTTTGCACTTCACATTGTATTTAAAGAATATAGCACAGGTTTTTCAGTGTGGAAGTATTGTTTTCTTATATTCTATAGGTTCTTAAGGATAGCCTGAAAATGACAATAAGGTAAAGAGAAATATCCATGAAATCTATTTTTTTTTTCTCTCCAAACCTACTAAACGTTAGGAACCTGTGTGTATTAGGAAGTTTTGCTGTCATTGAAACAAAATCCCAGACGTCTGCCACTTAAAGGAGGAGACTTTTACTTTGGCTTATTGTTTCAGATGTTTCAATCTATAATTAGCTGGCACTAAGGCAGAAAACTGCATGGCAGAGGGGCCTGATGGAGTAAAACTGCTCAGCCCATGCCATTGTGGAAGCAGAGAGGAGCAAGAGACAAAAAGAAAGAGACCAGGGACAAGAATACTCTTTTCCTAGTCACACTCCCAGTGACCCACCTCCTTCAAACTGACCCTGCCTCCTAACAGCACAGTTTAACTAGGAACTTAAAATGGATTAACCTTCTGATAAGCTTTGCATCTCTACAATAGAGTCACCTTCTAAGAGCCTCACCTCTGAGCACATGAGAATTTTGAGGAATATTTAGATTTAAACCTTAACATTGTGCTATTAGGCCTCTTTAGAGTTTGATATTTAAGTGCTAGCCAAGAGATAGAGAAGGAAGTACATTGCTTTGAGATTTAGCTATGAAATTGTGCCTTATGTCTCTGATCTCAGCTATTTCCTATAAGGAATATTTTCTGTGTTTTACTTTGTTGAATTTTCATGTTTTTGAGTACAATTTTACAATTAGTTTTGAAGGAAAAACAAAAGTATCATTTTCCAAGTTGATTCCATGGTAAAAAAAATTTAGCTAGATTTAGTAGTAGCTTTAAAACCACTTTAGTAATTAGGTAGCAACTGATTTCACTTTCTCATATCTTAATACTTAAGTCCCTCATTCACTAGGCTCCATAATTTATATATGGTTCTTCATGTTGCAAAGATGTTTTGGCCCAATAAACTTTGTTTTCTACAACTTTTATGTTTCTTTAAAATCAAGTAACTATGTAACATAATGTGGTCTATTATGCAGAATATATGCTGTGGTAACACAATCAGTTCCATTGTATTTGACAATAGTTTTTTAAATCTTTGAATAAATTATGTGAGTCAAAAATTATTATTTTGAATATTTTTTCATTTTTTCATCTTAAGTTTATTTTAACTTTATATATTTTCAATTAGTCCACATACTTATTCTTGTTAATCGATAATTATGTTTCAATTATTAAAATCTTTCCTTGATTCTGTCACAATGTGATCATTTTTATACCTATAATTTCATGGCTTCTTTCTTCAGATGATCATATATACCTATTACTTCTTGGATTCTGTGATAATGTAGTCATTTATACCTCTCTTTATATATTTACATTAATTTTACATTTTGTATTGACAACCCTTTACTATTTGTTTTCTTAGTCACTTTCTAGTTCTGGGGACAAATATCCAACTCCCATAATTTAATGGCTCACTTTTATAGTTCATTATTGGCTGGCTCAAAAGCATGGAGGTATAGTGGAAAGACATAGTAGAGGAAAAGCTATTCACATTATGGTCTTTAGAAAGTGGAGGGAGAGGGACGGTGTCAAGAAGGGGAGATATGCCCTGCCAGATCACATCCCCCACCTCTTCACATCAGGCTCTCCCTCCTAACATCATATTTAACTATATCCCCCAAATTCTGTTACCTTTCAGAAACCCTGCCTATGAGCACATGAGGCTTTGGGGAGACACCTACATATAAACTATAACTTTAGCCAAACAATTTAATCTGCTTTGATCATAAACTAAAAGTGAGACAAATGAGTTGTTATAGATAAAACATAGTTATAGACAGATATCAGTCAACTCTTCAGTTGATGATTGAAATGGGTGGCTAAGATTATCAGGGTAAAGCAAGTAATATACATAAAGGTTTTCCTGATATCAGCAAATGCTTGAGAAAAAATTCTAGAAATAGCAAGATGAAATTGATGAATTTAACAAATCTTTCATTAGAGGTAAAGTGTGATTACTAGAAAGAAAAATAGTCAAGTGAGAAATGAGAAGAGTATAGTCTTCAGACAGAACAGGAAACCTTCCTAGTGCTTTGCTGGTGATCCTAGATACTTTAGCACAGCTGAACAAAGATAACTGTATTCCTTATATAAATAAAAAGGGAAAGAAAAGGTTATTTGGGAATTTTGAGATGGGAAGATGCTTAGTGTTTTAGCTGTTCTGTCATTCTGGTAACACTGTAGGGTGGGTGGCTGGTCAGTTCCAAGAGCACACTAAGATTTTTGTCAGATATAATATGTAGCTATTAATGAGAACATATGGTATATTAACGTTATTATATTGATCAAAGGAAACAACATAAGAGCCTCAACAAATGGTTTCTGAATGTATAAAACTGAGGATACTTATAATTAAGGATTTTTTCAGATACACACACACACACACACACACATACATAGAGAGAGAGTCAGAGAGACAGAAACACATGTACACAGAGAGGCAGACAGACAGACAGAGAGACAAAGAGACAAAGACAGGGAGAGACCAAAGGTATAATAAATGTTTTAAAGTGAGAAACAATAGGTCTTTGATAGAATTTCACTATGCCATTTAAAATAGTCCCCATAATTTTAATTCTAATGTGGGTTATTTTTTCATAAGTCTGGGTTATGTAACAGAGAAGTGAATATTTTAATGATGTATTTATGTAGTGTCAAAAATGAAGAAGCAATCTTTTCACTATTTTTTTCCAGCTGACTTTTGTTCTTAATTCTAATTTGCCAGTTTGGAGGAATGATTTGTCAGCTCTTCTGTGTAGAACTTTAAAGTGAGATAAAAATATTTTAAATGCGTAAGTATAGGAAGGAAAGAACAGGTCTGTTTCCCAAAACTTTGAACTAGTGTTTGCTTATTTCTTAATAGTGTTAGATCTACTAAATATTTAAAAGGCTTTTAACGATAAATGGCTCTTTTTCGTTTCTCATGGTGCTGATGACTTGGTTGTATCTAATTTTAGACCGGTGTCATCATTATTGAGTTGCAATGTGTTCTCATTATGCCTGATGAGTGTTCTGGCCAGCTTTTGTTGTAGCCTGAGAACTTTTTATATGATGAAAATTCAAGAAATTGAAATTCCATACACACTGAAAATGGAACCTGTCAGAGTAGATTCAGTATATAATTTAGTAGTACTTTTTGAATTTTATCTGTAAGCTCTGCTGATTTTCTTAGGAGATTCTGGTCTCACATGAGTTTGATTGTATACCTGTCCATCTTCTCTTGGTCCATAAGACTATGTAATAACTTCTTTCAGTGAGATCTTTGGAAATACTGTCTACAAATCTCTATTTTAGTATTTATCTTGAGTGTTATTGTTAGTTGTTTACATGACACTGTCCTGCTACAGTGTGAGCTCCTTAAGGATAAGAAATAAAAGCTTTTCTTCTTTACATCTCCCTATGGGTGAAAAGAAAACAGCTTCATGGAAGTTTTGACACTTTAAGTAAGTGTTGGAATCTCCTAATTTAGGCTAGAATAAAAGTACATTGTTCTGACTCGAAAGTCCTAGTGATAGTCATTCCTTTACACATATGCATGGGTGCATGCACACGTGCACAGATGCACACACATCCTGTATTCCTTAAAAAAAAAATATATATATATATACATACCCATATGTATACAGATATATTGGAAATGATATTAGAAAATATATAGAGTATAATCATAAGCATATTTTTAATAACATTCTGTCTGAAGAAAGATAATTGGCCTAAAAGATTCAAATGCCTTTATAGTTTCTTCTAAGTTGCTTGCAGAGTCCTGTGTCTGTAATCTCACTATTTGGGAACAGCAGAATCTTTTAAGTAGTTTGAGACCAGCTCATGCAACAGAACAAGGCTCTATTATCTCAAATAAAAAGCAAAACAAAACAAAAAATGAACTGTTTCTTCTAATGTTTCTTCTAATGTTTCTGCTATTTATGTTTTATATTTTCATCTGTATTTAACTTTATCTTTACAGTTATATATTGTTATCAGTACTTTGCCATCAGTATGCTATTTTACATTTTTATTATCTGTAGTATAAGGAACATTATACTAAAAACTTTTCATGCTTGTCTTTTTGTATTCTTTGATCAGGGAATCCACAATAAAAGATGATGAAAAAGAATTATTGGCTTTTACCTAATTCAACTATAAGATTTTAATCATGCTTCATTTAAACAAGTTAGGATAAATGTGTTCCTGATTCTGGTAATCTTAGGCTAGGAAGTTCTATGGCCTCTTTAGTAATCAGTTTCACATTTTATTGATATTTACTCTGCCATGATTAAACTTTTGAAACTTTTTAAATGCATCAGACTCTTCTGAAAACAGTTTCTGTTACTAATATGTAGCCTCTAAAAGTTCTCTATCATTGTAATAGTGTAACATTTTAATTATAAGTATTAGCTTCAAATTTAGAATTCCTATGCCAAGATCATAGTTAATCATTTTGTTTTTAAAAATATTTAAGAAATTAATATCCTCTCAATTTTCTTGAAAAACAGTATAGATGTGAGGTGTTTATTACAACTCTTTTATTATGGTTCCTAGTCCCAAATAAAGAGATAGTATTTTAAGAAATGTGTTACTCTCTTTATTTTTTTCATTTTGTCTTTCAAGGGTAGGTTTTACTTGCAGTGTTGGTCAGAAATCACTGACCCTTTTATTTTTAGTATAGCTAGAATATCTAACCCACTGTTATCTGTATTTCTTCCAGGTTGCCAGCTTTATAACCTAAAACAAAAATTGATTCTTGTAATAATGAAAGTGACATTTTCTGCATATGTAACCTATTAGTACCATCCTAGTCCTCTTTCAATTTTTACCATCAGTGGCGAATTAATTTATAATATACTCATTTAAAATATTTACTTCATAAAAATTTTTAAGTTGTACTTCCTATTCCTTTTACCTGTCCTATTCTTTATATTTCAGGTTGCTTTCGGTATGAGTCATCATGTGATTTCCAACCAAATTGAAGTTAACTTTTCTATAATTTCTGCTTTTCTGAAAGCATTTTTTTCTTTTAAACCTTATATATTATATGATTGCTGGAGTTGTTAAGTGCCAACTACTGAGAAATAGTGTCAGAGACACAATTTCTGACTGGGATAAATGCAACTACTTTGCAATAGTTGATGTAAATCTTTGTAAGGGTCATCATGAACAGATGGTTCTCTATCCTGAGGGACTGAAGTCTGAGTTCTACAGATACAATATTTTGCACATTAACAGGAGTTTACTGCTAAGGTTGTTAAGACACAGAATTTCAAATGATTTCCAATTCTGTTTAACTTATATTAATTTATGTTCCTTTATGTCCCAGTTCATGAAACAAATGAATACTTATATGAAATTAGGGTAATTGACTCTCAGGATGAGCCTAATAAAAGAAAACAGGAAAATGCAAGTGTTTTGGTTACTTTTCTCTCTGTTGAGACAAAATACTGATGCCCAAAATTGGGAGGAAAAGTTTATTTCTCATAGTTCTTGGAGGTTTCAGTCCATGCTCAGCTGGTTCCAAGGCAGGCTGGCTGGTGGGGGCAGCTGTTCATGGCCATCACAAACAGCAAGGTGTGAACTGGTAAGAGAGAAAGCCACACTTTCTTCCCACTGTTGCATTATATCCTGGCTCCACCCCTGGGCTGGTGAAACACCATCAATCCAAGCACTAGACAATGAACCAATCACAAATGTTAGATTTGGTTGTGTCTATGATTACATGAGGCTTGGCGCAAGGCCACAAGAATACAAACCACAACAGCAAGTGAGGTTACTTATTCACCTATGAGACTAGAGCAAGGTATAATAGATTTAAATTCTTTCAAGAATGCCACCTTTCATTTTGACTGACTTGCTAATTATACATCTTTGGAAAATTACATAATTAAGATTTTTCTCCATTGTCTTTCTTAATAGTCAGATGTGTTTTAGAGACAGACATAATAATGCCCTGGATAGCAGAAACAGGATTTGTTTACATTTATCTTAATGCCTAATACACAGCAGCTACTCAGTACTTTAATGAATAAGTGAGTGGATACATTGATTGATGAATGAAAATCTCTGTTATTAGTGGACAAATTGGAAATACTAATTTATTTAGACCATATTGTTCTACCTTTCTAACTCTGAAGGTCATTTCTACTAAGGTAGTTCTTACTAAGACCTTGAGGTCTCACCTCTAATATCTTATGTGATTGGTACTATAATTTTTTGTCTTTTTGACACAGGGTTTCATTATGCAGTTCAGGGTTACCTAGACTTCATTTTGTAGACCAGGCTGGCTGCAAACTTACAGTAATCCTCCTGCCTCAGCCTACTGAATGTTGGGATTACAAATGTGAATCATCATGCCTGGCTCTCCATAATTTTTTTGGTGTGATACTGGGTATTTTTTTTTATTTATTTAAGGAGAAAAGAAAAAAAAAGTGAAAGGGTACAAGTTATACAGATTTACAGAAGAAAACAATGAACAGTAGGAAATCACTAGTTAATGGATTACATATTGCCATCTTAAAAATAATTGTTCAAGTCACAAAATTAAAGCTTGTAGAGTGGACATTCCAACAATGATACTGCAAACGGTTCTGTTCAATGATCCAATAAAACTCTGTGATATCATTTTCTATCTTATACACTTAAATATACATGCAGTTATATAGTTTAGAGCACTTTCTTTTCCTCTCTTTTGTACAATGACTATTACACATTTTGGGTTTCATTGCTCCCATGGTTCTTATTGCTTTTTTGGAAGAGAGTAAAACCAAATGAGACATAACAGGACAGAAACGGTCAAGTCAAAAGGGTGGACATAATAGATAATATAAAAACATAATACAAGGTGATCATCAATGGTTACCATGATGCCTCCCGCTATCTCTAATAGAATTGCCTATATCATTCATTATAATACAATTGAACAAAATAGTAAAGAACAAAACCGACAAAACCAACACATTGGAGACATTGTAGGTCTTCAAAAGTAGATAAAAGTCAACGAGAATGGGCGTTATAATGAATCTCATTATCTTCTCAGCTGATGCCTAAACTTTCGAACCTGATACTATCCAGCAAAACAGAATAGGGGAACATCAGTCAAAAACAAGATGGTGAGAGTAATACAGGGCTTCAAATCAAGATAATAGTCAAAGTGGGTTACTATATTATATCCTGCTATTTTTTTCCCTTTAATTAAATGGATAAAAATAAAAAAGTAAATAATGGAGTGGAGATTGAGAAAAAAGAGGGCATAACAGCAAAACAGCGCAGATCAAAACATAACCATTTAAGCAGAATAGTGTTTCACCACCAGATAATTCCGACCTAAAAGTAGTTACCATATTGACTCTGGGTATTAAACCCAGGATCTTGTGTATGCCAAGTATATGCTTTACCACTTAACTATATCTCCAACTGGATCATCATAATTTTTGGAAAGGAATTAACTTATATTTTAAAGAAATACATAACTCTGTTCTTATGTTCACATAGGCCTTGATGGAATTAACGTAGTATGATTTACAGTTCAAGTCATATAATTATTTTCATTTTGGTTTATTACTAAATAATATATGGATACTGAGTGCTCTATCATAAATGAATAGGAAGATACAGTTGTTATTGTTTGTCCCTTGAAGCCTAATATCTTGTAGAAAGGAAAATGTTTTTCAAATAAATATTCTGTGATGACTAAAAAATTCTGAAGTTATTGAGGGATATGACGTATAGGAAAATTTTCATACTAGCATGTAACTTGTTGGCCATTTATAAACATTTGGAGAGATGTCTATTTGCCCATTTTTTTAAACTTTCTATTTGTTATTCTTGTAGGTTAGTTGTAAGAATTCTTTCTTTCTTGATGTTTAATCTTTTATCAAATATATGATTTGTGGATATTTCTCCCATTCCAGTTGTTATTCCCTCTTTTTTTATTCTGAAGACAATAAAACCAAACAAAACAGTATAAAGTCAATCAAGACAAAACAGTGAATATGATATAGGACGTCAAAGCAAGATAATAGGAAATCAATAATAGCTACTATAATGCCACTTGTTGTCTTCAAAATAGCAGCCCATACCATCAGACATAATAAAATCAAACAAAAAAAAATAGAATAAAATCAATCAAAACAAAATAATGAAGCAATATAGGGCTTTGAAAAAAGATAATAGGAAGTCAACAATGACTACCATAATATATTTTGCTGTCTTTGAAATAGCTGCCCATACCATCACATATAATAAAACCAAGCAAAAAAAAAAAAAAAACAGAATAAAACCAAACAAAACATAACAATGAAAATAATGTAGGGCTTCAAAACAAGATAATAGTAAATTAACAATGACTACTGCCTTTCCTTTTTAGATGTTTCTTCCCCTTTCACTTTTATAATATCTATCGTGCATTTTGTATCCCACTAGCTCCTTCAGTTTTTTTAAACTAGGGAGTCAACACAATGTTCACCCAGGTGATTCTGAACCATTTTACCCATGAACATGATATCAAGTTGCATTCATTTACCTACCAGAGCCTCAAGGTTATCTTTCGTTACAGTTGAGTAGCTTTCCATTGTATAAAAATGCCATATCTTGCTTATCCAGTCTGTGGTTGATGGGCAGGCAACTTTGCTTTTTTTCTGGTTCACTGTCACATGGAACATTATTTTCTCTCCTTTGACTCTCAGTCCATGAATTTCCTTTTGTGTTGAATGTGTTTCTTGTATAAAGCATATTGGTAGATCCTGTCTCCTGATCAATTTTTCCTGTATTTCTTTTTATTGGTGAATTGAGTCCATCTACATTAATGGTTATAGCCAACATGCACTGGTTCAACTTTACCTTGCTATTTTCCTATGGTTGGCTCCCTACTTTTCCTGTCCATTCAATTGCTTACTCTGCTTAGTAGTCCCCCTCCGCCCCTGTTCCTGGAACTGTGATTATTTTTTGTCTCTCTCTAAATTTCCTTTAGTATTCTTTTTTATTTTAAAGAAAATAGAACCAAACAGAACCAACCAGAACAAAGACAATCAAAACAAACCAGTGTGAGTGACAAAGCACTTCAAAACAATAGGAAATCAGCAATAGTTACTATAATGCCTCCTGCTGTCTTCTAAATAGCTGCAGATACATTCAGACATATTAAAAATCGAAACAGAACAGAATAGAACCAGTAAAAATAAAACAATGAATGCAAAATAAGATTATAGTAAATCTGGGACTGGGGATTTAGCTCAGTGGCATAAGCGCCTGCCTGGCAAACGTGAGGTCATGAGTTCAATCCCTGGTCCCCCCCCCCAAAAAAAGATTATAGTAAATCCAAAATGGCTGCCATAATATATCTTATTATCTTTGAAATAGCTGCCATTAGATACAATAAAATCAAATGAAACAAAACCCAACCCAACAAAATAATGAAAATGATATAGGATTTCAAAACAAGATGATAAGGGAATCAACAATGGCCACCATCCTCAGGAGGTGTCTTAGTTACTTTTACTCATTTTTGAGACAAAATATCTGATGCCCAAAGTTAAGGGAAGGAAAGATTTATTTCTTATACTTGTTGGAGGTTTCAGTCCATTCTCAGTTCGCTCCAAGGCAAGGTGGTGTCACAGGGCAGCCATTCATGGCTGCTGCAAACAGCAAAAGTGAAAGCAAAAAAGAGCGAGTCACACTTCTTCTCACCATTACTCTATATCATTGCTCCACCTCTAGGTGGGTCGAACACTAATATTGCCAATCCCAGCACTAGACAACAAACCAATCACAAATGCTTCAGCCACATCCATATTACATGAAGCCTGGAGCGGGGATGAAAGGAATATATAATCTGTATCAGAAAGAGATACCCCATAGATGCTACACTATATATTGCCATCCTCTGAATAGATGATCAGACCATCAGCTTTAGATCTGCAAATCAGTGAAACACTTAAACACTACAAGCATTAAGTTGTATTCTATCTCAGTAGCCATCATCACAACCTGTGTTTCTCCAGATCAGCCAGTCCATTAAGGTGAGGGGGGTTGGCTCTTTTTGGTTCCTAGTCCATGCACTGTAAGGGGCTGGCATCTGGCCCTCCCCCCAGTAGCCTGCACATGGTGCTGATTCTCAAGGAGGGCTTGCTTCTTGGTGACTTCTTGTTTTCCTCCCTCACAATCCTCCTTCAGTATTCTTTGTAGGATTGGTTTGGTGGTCATGCATTCCTTCAGCTGATGTTATGGAAGTATCTTGTTTCTCTATTCTTTTTTTTTAAGATAGTAAAATCCAACAAAACAAGACAGAACAAAGCCAATTAAAACCTCCTCCCAAGAGATGCTCAGAATGCTGGCCTCAGGCCTGCATAATCAATGAAAAAATACAAGTATTTACTTGCTTTATGTACCTTACTTGCTATGAACTCAGCCTGTCCTCCTCTTCATTAATTTTGAAAGATAGATTTTCAGGTATATCAATCTGGTTTGGAAGTGGTTTTCCTTCATGACTTGAAATATTTTACTCCAACCTCTTCTTGACTTGATGGCTTATGTTGAGAAATCTCTCATGATTCTGATGGATTTTCCTTTATAGGTTATCTATTTGTTTTTCTAACAGATTTTAATATTTTATTCTTGTGCTGAATTTCCAGGATCTCTATTATTATATGTCTGTGTGTAGATTTATTTTGGTTATGGCTAGCTGGAGTTCTATATGCCTCACTTATCTGTATCTCAGGTCCTTTTCCCATGATTGGGAAGTTTTCCGCTATTCCTTCTACAAAGTCTTTTTATTTCATTTATGTTGACCGTTGCTTTTTTGCTGACACCTATCTCTTAAATTACTTTTCTTTGCATTGTCTTGAAGCTGTTGAATTGTTATTTTCTAGTTCCTTGTTTTAAGAGATCTTTTCTTTTGCAGTCACTAGATGAAAATGTGTATTCAAGGTCTAAAAGTTTATTTTCAGGTTCTTTCAAGTGGTTTTGCCAGGTTTCAATGGAGTTTTTAATTTCCTGGATATCTCTTTGAAACTGTTGCATGCACTGTGAATCTTTCTTATATTGTTCATTCAAGCTTTCCCTCATTTTCCTATGTTCTTCTATTTTTTAATCTATATCTTTTTTAGATATGCTCAGCAGTTCTTCTATTATGTTTTTCATTTCTTCTTTTACCTGAGATAGTAGTTCTGACCTAATTTCTTTCATAGCCTCATGAAGTTGTTTCTTTACTTCATTTGCCACCACTTCAGAAACTTCAGGTAGCCGACTTTCAATCTCTTCCATATTTACATCTCCTGGACTTGCTCTGCATGAGTTACAGGGCAGAGATTGCCTTGTGATTGTTTGTCTTACTATTTTCATGGGTTCTTCAGAGAAGTAGGTTATGGTGCCCCAGGCTGTTCCAATGTTGGCTATGATTTTCTCTGAGGCATGACTGCCTGGTTCTCCTAGCCAGTGCTAGCTATGGGTACCCAGTGGTGACCAGTAGCTGTACTGGTGTGGGGGCTGGTTGTTCCTTTCCCCAGACTGAAGTGGCTACCTGCAGGAAACTCCCTGATAGCAGCCAGTGTGTACATGAAGGTGGGGTTGGCTTCTGCTTTTCTCAGAGCCAGCTGCTGCTTCTCCCAACTGGAGCTGATTACTGGTAGGAAGCATCCCTGATGGCGGCTGTTGTGCATGTGGAGGCAGTGCTGGTTCTGCCCTTTCTTAATCCAATAATTACTTTTATAAAATTAATTTTATTGGTACATTTTAGATATATATAATGATAATATTTATCATAGGGAATTTGTACCTGTACATAATATATCTTGATTCTTGCTTTTTCCCCAATCCCTTCTGTTGTAGTCAGGGGTTTTGAGAAGAACAATCAGAATCAGGACACGGAATTTATATTATTTTATGATGGCCACCCAGAGTTTAACACAAGAAAGAGCAGGAAATCTATCCACAACACTAAAAGACATAGAATATTCATCTCACAGCAATGTCCAGATGAAGACCTAGAGCCCATGACAATGCCTCCCACAAATCCAGCTGGAGGTCTAGAGACCATGAAAAGGACTCCCACCAGTCTCTTTTATGGATCTGTGTTTGGGAGGCCCAAAGGTGAGCAGTGGAAGCTAGGAAGTCTATACCAGTGGGGCGAAGGAGCTGTGCTGATAGGTTAAAGATTCTATGCTGGAGCTGAGAAGTCATGCTCAAAACAAAGACCAGGGCTGTCCTGAAAAACACTAAGCCATGCTCCATGACACAGATGCCCTGAGCTCCTCCAATGATAAGAACAGTAGACTACAGGCCAGAAAGCCAGCATGACAAGTTTGTCCTGGAGATTAAGTGTCACATATCTTCCCTTCCGGAGCCAGGAAGCAATGCTTGATGTAAGAACCAGAGCTCCCCCAAAGTGAACCACAGTCACTGTCACCAACCAGGTCCCGAGCTCCTCTGATGACAATGGTCAAACTCACACTGGGGAAGCTAGTCATGACGAACTCCTCCAGGGGAATCAACAGCTCAAAAAGCAACACTTAGAGAAACAATGTATAGCTCTTCTTCAGCACATCTCTATTTGTGCTGGCAGCTTACCTCAGGTGGAACATCTATGCTTAGCACCATGGTGATTTAATTCAACTGGCATTAAGTTGACCATCAATTGTTAATCCATAACACTTTCCCTCCCATTTCCCCTCTTCCCACTCCCGCTCTTCCCCTTCTTATTATTCTCTTTTCATCTTTCTTTCCCCTTCCTTCCTTTCTTCCTCCTCTTCTTTGTTCCCCTTCTCATGTGAACATTTTCATCCTATTTTCCAATATCTAGCGTACATTTTGGTCCTTGTCTACACTTTTAGTTTCTCATACCATAGGAACAATATGCTATTTGAATATGTGTGCTTAATTTATTTCACTTAAGAATATAGTCATAAAGGCTGGACTGCTGTGCATGCTTGTAATCCCAGCACTTGGGAGGTTGAGGCAGGGGGATCATTGTGAGTTTGAGACCAGCCTGGGCTACAAAGTGAGTTCAAGGCCACCCTGAACTCATAATACTTTGTCTCAAAAGGACCAAAAAAAATGGTTGCAAAGTACCTCCATTTTCTTATAAATTTATGGCAGAATATTACCACAGTGTATTAAAAAACCCCACATCTTCTTTGTCCATTCATCTGTTGATGGGCATTTGTGCTGTTTCCAAGTTAGTGTTAGAGATCACATAATGAGGATAAAGGTCTAATTGATATTCTCTGTAAGCATGTAGGAGAAAAATGACAAGCTGTGCTCTACTGGCAACATGTAGGCATGCTAGTACATTTTAAATTCTGGAGAAGAGTCAACATAATTGAGATCTGGTTGTTTACTTGGGCATACACTATAGATAACAGGAGACCAAAGAATCTTGTATTATTTCTAATTGCTTGGTTCTGTGTCTTAGTAAATAAAAATGTCTACCAGAGGCAAGAGTTGTCTGGCCCCCTTTTTCAGAATTATTTATGTGTCTTGCTTTCATTCTTGTTCACCCCTTGATTGATAATAAACTCCTAGGATGTTTCCTACAATTTAGCCATTACAAAGTGTGCTGCTGTAAACATGGGTGTGCATATGTCCCTGTGGTATCTTGGTTTTAATTCTTTCTGAAAGATAATAAGAAGAGGAATAGCTAGGTCAAATGGAATCTCTAGTTGTTTTTTGAGGAATCTCTACACTGATTTCCACAATGGTGTCACCAGTTTGTATTCCCACCAATAGTGGAGAAGAGTTCTTTCCCCCCATAATTTCTCTTTTGGTGAGTTGTTATGTGTGTACAGGAATGCTGTTGTTTTTTGAGTGTTGAATTTGTATCCTGCTACATTACTGAATTTTGTTATTAAATCTGGGAGTCTTTTGTTGAGGTTTTTGAGATCTATGCAGAGTATCATGTCATCCGCAAATAGTGATACTTCAATTTCTTCCTTTACTATCCTTATTCCTTTTATTTCTTTCTCTTGTCTAATTGCTCTGGCTATTGTTTCCAGAGCTAAATTGGATGGGAGAGGTAATAGTGGGCATCTTTGTCTTGTTCCTGATTTTAGAGTGAAAATTTTCAGTTTTTGACCATTTAGTATGACGTTGGCTCTTGCTTTGCCATAGACGGGTTTTATCAGACTGAGATAAAGAGCATCTATTACAATTTTCTGTGGTTTTTAAAAAAATCTTGAATGGGTGTTGGCCTTTAGTTAAACATTTTTTCTACATCTATTGAACATGTAGTTTTTGTTCTTGGTTATATTAATGTGGTTTCTTAATATGTATTTATTTGCATATGTTGAACCATTCCTGCATCACTTGGATGGACCTTGCTTGGTCATAGTGTACAGTCTTAATGATTTGCTGCATTCTGGTTGGCAGTATCTTAGTGAGAATTTTTGTATCTTATGATCATTAGGGAGATTGACCTGTGATAATTTCCTTTTTTCATTAGACCCTTCTCTGGTTTTGGTTTCAGGGTAATGATATTTTTAGAGATGAATTTGGGAGTATCACTTCCCTTTCAATTTCATTAAAGAGTTAGAATAGTAGTACCATTAGGTCGTCCCTAAATTTCTTGTAGAATTTAGCAGTGAATTTTTCAGTACCTCTACTTTTCTGTGTTGGTAGGTTTTTAATTCAGTTTTCAATTTCACTGATTTCTATTGGGTTACTGAATTTTTATATATTTTTGATTCAGCTATGGTATTCACATGTATCTCAAAAGCTGTCCATTTCTTCTGTTTTTCATCTTATTACAATACAGATACTGAAAGTAGATGTTTATGTTCTTCTAGATTTTTGCAGGATCTGTTATAGTTTCACCTTTTTTCATTCCTAATTACATGGATTTAAGACTTTTCTGTCATTTCTGATAAAGTTAGATAACAGCTTGTCAATTAAAGATCCAACTTTTTTTTTTTTTGAACCAGGGATTGAACTCACAACTGTGTGCTTGCAAGGCAGGAGCTAAATCCTAGCCCCAAAGATCCAACTTTTTGATTCATTGATTCTTTGTATTTTTCTGAGTTTCAATCACATTCATTTCTGCTCTGATCTTTGTGATTTCCTCCATCATATTAGCTTTGGGCTAGACTTGCTATTGTTTTTCAACAAGTCTGAGTTTCAACATTAGGTTATTTATTTAAATTTGGTGTTATTTTTCTGATGTATGAATTCACTGCTGTAAGTTTCTCTTGTAGGATTGTTTTGATTGCATCCCTTAAGTTCTAGTATGTTGTACTGGTATAATCATTTAATTGTAGAAACTAACATCTTCTTTAATCTGTGACTCACTGGTAATTCAGGAGGTTTTTATATAATTTCCATGTGTTTATGTAGTTTTTGTGATTTCTTTTGCCATTGATTTCCAATTTCAATACACTATGATCTGATAATATGCATAGGACTTTCAGTTCCTTTGTATTTATTTAAGCATGTTCTCTGAGTAGTATATTGTCTATTTTGGAGAATATCCCATGTGCAGCTGAGAAGAATATATATTGTTGTGTGGTAGAACCCTCTGTAGATGTCTACTAAGTATTTGTTCAGAGGGTTGGTTCAGTTCTGTTATGGATTGTGTCAAGGTGGCCTCCCAAGCCTTATGCAGTCATGGAGGTGGCTAAATCTAGTGTTTTGTGATTGGTTCATTGTCCAGCACTGGGATTGGTGGTATGAGAGAAGAAGACGTGTTTTCTCTCTCTTTTGCCCTTTTGCTTTTGTCATTTGTGGCAGCCATGAATGGTTGCTCCTTAGTCACTCCACCCTGTCTTGGAGCCAGCTAAGTATGGATTGAAACCTTCAAAAAACTATAAGCTAAATAAACCTTCCCTTCCCTAATTTTGGGCATCAGGTATTTTGTCTCAGCAGTGAGAGAAAAGTAACCAAGACAAGTTCTGTACTTTCTTTCTTTTTCTTTTGTCTAGTTAATCTATTTGTGACACTGGAATAACGAGAATGTCTCATTACAATTGGATTATTGTTTATTTGACTTTCTATGTCTGTTAGTATTTGTTTTATATCATTGGGTGCACTGGCTGGTATTTGTGCATATGAATTTATGATTGTTCTCTCTTCCTCTTGGATTGTTCTCTTAAGTAGTAAGTAGTGACCTTCTTTTTCTTTTCTGTTCAGTCTTGGCTCAAAATCCACTATATGTGCAAATAGAATAGCTACCTCTGCTATTTTTTAGGTTCTTATTATATAAAGTATTGTTTTGTATCCTTTGACTTTCAGGCTATGAATTTTTTTTGAGTTAAACATGTTTTTTGTATGCAACATATTGTCAGATCTTGTTTCTTCATCCGTTGTGCAACACTGTTTATTGTTGTTGGTAAATTGAAACTATATACATTGATGATAATAATTGATATTTATTGAGTCATTCTTATCATATAATTTTTCTGTTTTTTCCTTTTCTTTTCTCTGTTTAATTGCCTGCTTTGCCTGAAGGATTCATTCTATTGGGGTTTCTATAATTATAGTCTTTCTTATATCTTTCCAGAATATCTTTCAGAACATTTTGGAGTGCTGGTTTGGTAGTAATGAATTTCTTCAAATATTTTTTGTCTTGGAAGTATCTTATTCTCTGTGAATTTTAAACATAGTTTTGTGGATGAATCAATCTAGTTGGAGAGTTTTGGGAAGGGCTTGAAATACTTTATACTAACCTCTTTGACTTAAGGGTTTGTGTTGAGAAATCTGCTGTGATTTTAATGGACTGTCTTTTATAGATGATTTGTTTCTTTTCTCTAACAGCTTATTTTGAACAGAGTATTCTATTCTTTGTTGAATTTCTGGAAGCTTCACTACTCTATGCCTGGATGCATATTTTTTTTGCTCATGGCTATTTGGAGTTTTGTATGCCTCAATTATGTACATCAAATTCTTTTTTCATGCTTGGGAAATTTTTTGTCATTACTTTCTATGACCAGCTTTTTTATGTCTTTTACACTATCTTTAGCTTTTTCATGTATTGTCTACCAGCTGTTGGATTGATTTTTTGTGGTCTCTTGCTATTTTTAAGAAATCTTTTTTGATGTTTGCTAACTGCATACCTGTTTTCTAAAGCTCATATTCTGTCCTCACATTGATTGATTCTGTTCTTTATTTTTTCTATAGCATTTTTAATCTTTTGGCTATCTGTTTGAATCTACTTCATGGATATCATTTTTCCCTATGTTGTATTTTCATGGTTTACATCTTCCCAAGATCCTCCATTGTTTTGTCTGTATCAAATCAAGATTCACTAACTGTGTTCTTCATTATGGTTTCATCTCTTTTATCTAAGAAATTATTTCTGATTTAATTTTTTTCTAGAGTCTCATTTATTTGCTTTGTTACTTTCTCTTTTACCATTTCAAAGAGTTCAGATGGGTGGGTTTTGAATTGTTCCACCTCACCAATCTCTACGTTTGTCTTGGGTAAGCTAGAAGTCTGGGGTTGCATGTTCTTTCTGTGTCTTTCTTTCTTTCTTTCTTTCTTTCTTTCTTTCTTTCTTTCTTTCTTTCTTTCTTGTATCTTTCTAGTTTAACTTCTGCATTGACTTGTTAATGTCTTTTGGTAGGTAGTTTTATTGCTATTATTGAGAACTTCTTAGGAAGTGACTAATTTTCAAAGATATCTTTTAGGTGTAACTGACTTTTGACTTTTGAATCTGTTGCAAGAACCTATCTTTTCAACTTATTGGTGCCTATTTCACCTATCTCCTAGTTCTTTGGAACTGGCTTGCAGTATTGCTTCGGACTCTCAAGCAATCTGGTTTTGTGAGGTACAAAGGCATACAAGAAAGTACAACTGCTTAGAACAACTATGTCACCTTGGATAAAGTAGAATAATCAATAATTACAATAGCATTAAGCACAGACTAGAATACCTATACAAACTGTGGTAACTATTAATTTGCCATCTTTAACCATATGAACAATATTTGTAGCTACATAACAAAATCTAAAACAGACCAGAGAATGTATTTAGCAAATATCCCCTCAATAGAGTTTAACCTCAGAGGTGAAAATTTGAAAGAGATGAGAGGAAAAATAGAGAAGAAGAAAAGTAGTTTAGAAGCAAGATTGGAGAACAAAGGAAGATTGCACAAGCTTTGGGAAACTGGTGAAGAAGACAGAAGAAAACAATGTAAACAAGAACAGAAAACAACAGCAAAATAACTAGAAACAGTGTTCACATAAAAAGAAGAACAATCAAGAAAAAGAAAAAAAAACAAGAAAGGAAGAAAAATAGTGTGTACTTCAGAGATGTCAGAGTTGTATCTCTGCTGTCACTGAAAGACAAATGGGGCATACAGGGCCCAGATCCATGTTGGTTGATCTCATCAGTCCTATAGTAGAACGTATTGCTGCCTGGTGGATAAATCCCTGCAGGCCTGTGCTTTCAAGTCCACTGAATTTCAAGTTGGTTATAGTTTTTGACTGTGAGGTTTGTGACTTGAGTTATTCAGCTCACAGCTCTCTGGGTGCCTCTTGATGGTTTGAGCTTGGGTCCCTGATTATGGGTGTCTCCTATGATGGCATCATACCCTGACACTGTGAGCTCCAAAGTAGAGCTGACTGGTGGCTGCTCTGAGTTCTGGGTTTAGCTGGCCCTATTCCAAAATGGCAATCAGTTACTTGCTCTCTGCTGGTAATATCTGAACTGTAATCACTCACCAGCCATTGCAGCCCATGACATTCACCACTCTGTTCCACTGGTATGTTTCTCTATGAAGACCTCTGGAGTAAACTGTAATCACTGTGCCTTGGTAGGTTCAAGCTACCCCTTGACACCTCAAGCTGGGATTTAGGGATGTGTTTGCCACCTCCCTCTTCGGCATTGAGGTCCCTCTCCTATCTTTGCTGGGTCCCAGAGACCCATTACCTTCTTTCTTCTCTTCACTGCATTGCTGTATTCCAGCATATGAACTCCAAATCCCAGAGGCTAATTTGCTATTGCTCACTACTTCCCCATCTTCCTGGAAGCATTTCAACAATTACATTTTGATTGTATACTTTGAGGCTCAGAAGTTTTTAATTTTGTTACTATCCTATTTGTCTATTTTAGTTTTATTTCTTTTAGTATTTTATGTAGGAAATCCTTGCCAAATCCAATATTATGAACCTCTCCTTACATAGTTTTTTCTAAGAATTTTACAATTTTGAATTTTATGTGTATTTTTTGTTTGGACTATAATCATTATGCTCAGTCCATTTAGGTAAATACTGATTTCAGTGGCTGAAGTTTATGGTAATATGATGTTTATTTTGTTTAATTTTTATAATTACTATGTGCTTGGAAAATTATAACATCTTGTTCAAGTTGTGCCTAAAATCAGGTTAGGTATATATTAGATGAGAACTTTGAGACACTGGTTAGATACTTTTAAGGGTTTGATCATTTGCAAATAAGAGTGCAATTTAAAGTCTCAAGGAAAATAGTATTATCTAGCTGTCCTAATTTTTGATGAATTATTTACAATAAACTGTATACAAACATAAATGTTTGTGGGTCATTAGAAAATCTAGATGTGTGCCAGTTGTAAGTGCTACTAAGAGTTATAGATGTTTACAAATTTGGATGATCATGGAGTCCTCAGTGCCAGCACCCAAAGGTGAACATCAGAACAAATCAGAGTTTAGCCTGTTTTTCCTTTGAGGTTTATTAGAGATTTTATATAAGAGATTACTATGAATCATAGGATTCTGAAATTGTCTTTCTTGACAGAAGGCATTTTTTAAAATGTGGAGCTTGTGCAAATCTCCCAAATAATTTAAATGCATAAAACACATGCAACAGATGGCAAAAGGATTTGAAGGAAATGTGTGTGACTTTTTAACTACTTAGTTTTACATAATAATGTGTTTGTGCAGTTAAGGTAGTGCCCTTTTGTGATAAGTGCTACACATTTGAGGAGTAGAATTTGCTTTCTAGAGTTGCTAAAATCTGGCAATCTTTAGATTAGAAAGTATTTTTTAATGCTTCATTTAAAATTTTACTATTGTAATATCAAATAGCAAGCTCTTGTCATCTGGAATTTCTTTTTGCTAATATTACCCCATTACTAAAATCTCATCAGAGAAATAACAGATAACTGGTGTTGCATTCTACTGTATTGAATTTTCTCCTCTTAAACCTCAAAAGCAAAGCATTTAAAAAACTTCCTTTGTTTAAAAATACCTTTCATTTTTTGTTTGTTTTTCTCCTTTTTATTTTTATTTTAAAGAGATTAAGACAAAAGAGGACATAACAAAGCAGATCAGATCAGAACAATGCAAGTAACACAGCATTTTACCACAAGGCAACCTATAATTAACAGTAATTACCATAGTGTGTCTTTCTTTGAAATAGTTGAGCATAGCTTCATATACGATAGTATCAAGCATAACAAAATAGTATAAAACCATTCAAGAGAATAAAAGCATTACAGGGCTTTCAGAACCAAATAGCAGAGGATGAACAATGGCTACTATATTATCTCATTTTCCATAGAAAATTTGTTTATACTATCACACATAATAATATACAATAAGATATAACAGGATAGAACCAAAGGCAAGAGAAAAACACAAGCATAGTAGGACTTCAGAGTAAGATGATACTAAATCAGCTCTGGCTATTTTAATGTCTTCTTTAAAATAGCTGTTTATACTATCACACATAATAAAATCAAACAAACGAGGAGAAAACCATTCCAACTAATAAAGGCACACATTATAAGGCTTCAGAGCAATGTAATGGGGAATCATGATTACTATAAACTCTTATGTACTCTTACTATTTCTTACACTAAGGAGACTATACGGTATTTATACATGTGAGTTTGTTTTATTTCACTTATGAGTATGGTCTCAAGTTGTGTCCATTTATTTATAAATGTATCAATGTGATCATTCTTTATAGCTGAGTAGTACTCCATTGTATAAAAATACCACAGCTTTTCTATCCATTCCTCAGTTGATGGACACTTAGGTTATTTCTAAGATCTGGCTATTACAAATTGTGCTGCTATAAACATAGGTGCACATAGATCACTGTGGTATTTTCAGTTCTTCTGGGAATATGCCTAGAATTGGAATAGCTGGAACAAATAGGACTTCCAATCCCAGCTTTTTGAGAAATCTCCAGACTGACCTCCACAATGGCTGCACTAGTCTACATTGCCACCAACAGTGGAGGAGAGTTTGCTTTCCTCACAGCCTCTCCAGCATTTGTTGTTGGTAATTTTCTTGATCCTGGCCGTTCTTTCTGGAGTGAGACGCAATTTCAGTGTGGTTTTAATTTACATTTTTCTAATGAGTAATGATGCTGAACATTGTTTCATGTATTTATTTTCCATTTGTATTTCTTCATCTGAGAATTGCGTATTCATCTGAGATGCCCATTTTTGGATTGGATCTTTGAATATCGGGGGTCTGATTTTTTAAAATTCTTTATATGTTTTAGACAGAAGTCCTTTGTCTGAGGGACAGTTCACTAAGATTTTTTCCCAGTTTGTGGGTTTTCTTTTCACTATGCTGGAGATTTCTCTTGACATGCAAAAACTTTTTAATAAGATGTGATCCCAGCTATCAATTCTGGGAAGTATTTCCCATGTGGTTTGATTCCTGTTCATGAATTCTCTTCCTACCCCTGTGTCTTCAAGATTTTTACCTAATTTATCTTCCAACAGATTTAATGTTTCTGTTCTAATATTCAGATCTTTAATCAATTTAGATTTTAGTTTAGTATATGGTGATAGGCATGGGTCTAGTTTTAGTTTTTGGTATATGGAGAGCCAGTTTTTCCAGCACCCTTTATTAAAGAGACTGTTGTTCTTCCAGCGAACATATTTGGCCCCTTTATCAAAGATAAGGTGGTTGAATGTGTTGTTAGTTGTGGTTTTATCTTCTAATGTATTCCATTGATCTTTGATTCTCTTTTTATTCCAGTACCATGTTGATTTTATTATACTTGCTTTGTAGTATAACTTCAAGTCAGGGATTGTGATGCCTCCTGCCTTGCCTTTGCTGCTTAGAATTGCCTTTGTTATTCTAGGTCTCTTCTGGTTCCAGATGAGTTTTAGGATTGATTTCTCTAGATCTATGAGGTATGTTGATAGTATTTTCATTGGGATTGCATTCAATCTGTATAATAGTTTTGGGAGAATGGCCATTTTTATGATATTTATTCTTCCTATCCATGAGCAAGGAATGTCTTTCCATTTTCTGAGATCCTCTTCAATTTGTTTTTTCAGTGTACTATAATTTTTCCTGTATAGGTCTTTCACTGCTTTTGTGAGAGTAATTCCTAAATATTTCATTTTTTTGGATGTTAGTGTGAAGGATGTGGCTTCTTTTATTTCTCAGTGATTTTGCTTTTAGTATATAGAAATGCCATTGATTTTTGAGTATTGATTTTGTATCCAGCTACATTGCTGAATTTATTTATTATATCTAGGGGTCTTTCAATGGAGTTTTGGGGGTTCTTCCAAGTAGAGTATCATGTCATCCACAAACAATGATAGTTTAACTTCCTCTTTTCCTATTGTTACCCCTTTTATTTTTCTCTCTTGTTTTATTGCTCTGGCTAGTATTTCCAGTACTGTGTTAAATAGGAGTAGTGATAAGGGACATCCTTGTCTTGTACATGATTTTAAGTTAAAGGACTTCAGTTTTTGGCCATTTAGTATAATGCTGGCTATAGGTTTATCATAGATGGCCTTTATCATATTGAGGTAAAGACCATCCATTCCAATTTTCTGTAAAGTTCTTAGCATGAATGAGTGTTAGACCTTATCAAAAGCTTTTTCTGCATCTATAAAGATGATCATGTGATTCTTACTTTTGGCCTTATTGATACGGTGGATTATATTTATTGATTCCCATATGTTGAACCATCCCTGCTTGCCTGGGATGAATCCCACTTTGTTGTGGTGTTTAATATTCTTGATGATTTGCTGCATCCTGTTTGCCAATATTTTATTGAGGATTTTTGCATCTGTGTTCAAAAATTGGCCTGTAGTTCTCTTTTTTAGTTGGGTCTTTCTGAGGTTTTTGTCCTAGACTAATATTTGCTTCCAGGAATGACCTAGGAAGAATTGCTTCCCTTTCAATTTCATTGAAGAATTTGAGGAGTGTCGGCATTAAGTCTTCTTTGTATTTCTTGTAGAATTCCGCAGTGAATGCGTCTGGCCTGGGCTTTACTTTGTAGGTAGAGACTTATTTACATTTTCAATTTCATTAATAGAATTTGGGTTATTCGGCAGTTTTACATCTTCTTGACCCAGCTTTGGTAGTTCGTATGTTTCTAGGAATCTGTCCATTTCTTCTGTGTTATCGACGCTATGACAGTAGAGGTTTTCAAAATAGGTCTTGGTGATCTTTTGTATTTCTACACAGTCTATAGTGATTTCACCTTTTTCATTCATTATTGCATGAATTTGAGTTTTTTTCCCTTTTTAAAATAAGGTTGTTTAGGGGCCTATCAATTTTATTTATTCTTTCAAAGAACCAATTCTGTGATCCTTTGATTTTTTTGGATTGTTTTCTTAATCTCTGTTGTATTAATTTCTGCTCTGATTTTTATCTTCTCTGATTTCCTCCTTTCTTTTGGCTTTAGGCCTGACTTGCCCTTCTTTTTCTAGATGTTTGAGGTTTAGCAACAGGTTGTTTATTTATATTCATTCTGTTTTCCTAATGTGGGAAGTCAGTGCAATAAATTTTCCTCTGAGGATAGCTTTTATTGTATCCCACAGATTCTGGTAAGTTGTATTTGTATTTTTGTGTGCTTATAGGTATTGTTTAATTTCTTCTTTAATTTCCTCTGTGACTCACTGATTGCTCAAGAGTGTATCATTCAAAATCCATGTGTTTGTGGGGTTTTTGCAGTTTCTTTTATCATTAATATCTAGTTTGATGGCACTATGATCCTAAAACATGCATGGGATGATTTCAACTCTTTTGCATTTATTTAAATATGTTCTGTGGGCTAGTATATGGTCTGTTTTAGAGAATGTCCCATGTGCTCCTGAGAAGAATGTATATTCTGATGTTGCTGGATAAAACTCTGTATACGTCTACCAAGTTCCTTTGTTCACAGGTGTGATTCAGTTCTTTTACTTCTTTGATGATTTTCTATCTGATTGATCTGCCCCTTGGTGTCAATAGTGTGTTAAGGTCTCCTGTTTATTTGTGTTATTGCTAATTTGATTTTTCATTTCTATTAATACTTGCTTTGTATAGCTGGGTGCTCTGGAATTTGATGCATATATATTTAAGATAGTTACCTCTTCCTCTTTAAGTTTTCCCCTAACAAGTATGGAGTAACCTTCTTTATCTCCTAGGATCATTCTTGGTTTGAAGTTCACATTATCTGCAAACAGAATAGCTACCCCATTTTTTATTTTTTTTATTTTTTTATTTTTTGGTTCTTGTTGCATGAGGTATTATTTTCCATCCTTTGACTTTCAGTCTGTGAATTTCCTTTTGGGTTAGATGGGTTTCTTGCAGACAGCATGTGGTTGGATGTTGTTTCTTGATCCATTCTGCCAGTCTGTTTCATTGAATTGGTGAATTGAGACCATTTACATTAATGGTTATAACTGTTATATATTGGTTTATTGTTGACATGTTATCTTTATGCTGTTACACCTTTATCTTTCCATTCTGTTTAGTTGTCTACCTTGCTTAGCGGTTTTTTCCTATGTGTATCTAGACTGTCTTTCAGTATTCTTTGCAGGGTTGGCTTGGTGTTCATGAAATTCTTCAGCTGTTCTTTGTCATGGAAGTATCTTATTTCTCCATCCATTTTGAAGGACAGTTTTGCAGGGTGTGTCAGTTTATGTTGGAAAACATTTTCCTTTAGGAAAATGCTCTTCATTGTTTGTGTTGAGAAGTCTGCTGTCATTCTGATAGGCTTTCCTTTATAGATGTTCTGTCTTTTCTCTCTGACAGCTTTTAGTATTCTATTCTTATGTTGGATTTCTGGGATGGTGATTATTATATGCCTGGGTGTAGTTTTATTTTGGTTATGGCTATTTGGAATTCTATATGCTTCACTAATACTAATGTCAGTTTTCATTCTCACGTTTGGGAAATTTTCAGCTATGACTTCTGTGAATAGCCTTTTGATAACATTTGTGTTGTTCCCTTCTTTTTCATTTATCCCTATTAATCTTATGTTGTTTTTCTTTGCATCATCTTGCAGCTGTTGAATTGTTATTTCCTGATTCCTTGTTTGTTTGTTTTTGAGACAGGGTCTTACTATGTAGTTCAGGCTAGCTTTGAACTCAATATGTAGTCCAGCCTGGTCTTAAACTCACAGTCATTTTCCTTCTTCAGCCTCATGAGTGCTGAGATTACAGGTGCACCACCATGACCAGCTACTTACCTTTGTTTGTAAGCAGAAATATTATATTTTTCAGTATTGTGTCTGAGAACCTTAAACCAATTCTCATTCATTGTTTATAACCTTTATGTCAAAATAATCACATCATATAATTGACTTTTTGGTTTTTTATATAAGTAAAAATGGATTTGTGTTAATTTAACTGTCATATAGTATGTTAAAGCACTGTGAAATTTAGTGCCTTTAATCAGTGTCTATTCCAGTTGTCACAAGATGAGCTCATCCTCAATGAAAAATTTAGTGAGTCTTGTGCAAAACTGTACTTGGAAAACTTAAAATGCTGCCAAAAAGAGCTGTCAAAGGTAAGACTTCTCTTGTTCTTGCATAAACACTCAACATTATAAAAATAATAGCTCATCGTTCATTAAGGTATGAATTTAATGCAATGAACAAAAGTACCAACAATCCACTTTATAGAAGAAGTAAATAATTTGTTTCTGATGTATATGCAGAAAAGCAAATACATAGTATCAGGAAAAAACTGAAAAAATAGAAAAATATAAGTGACAACCAGTCCTATCAAGCATTAAAATACACTACAATAAGACATGGCTTCTTATGATTAAAATATTGTCATATGCAAACTTGAATAGATCAATAGACTAATGGGCTCAGATAAAATGTCCATAAATAAGTTTAAATACATATACATATTTAATATATGTTAAATATAGTGTTTCAAATGATTGGGGTAAAAATAGTTATTAAATGGTTATGGGAAAACTGGGTGCTTATTCAGAAAAAATTATATTATATCTTATACCCTAAAATAATGGATTAAGGATCTAAATGCAAAGACATGAAACTACAGAAACATGACAAAAAATAAGTGCACTCTTTTTTTTTAAATTTTGGTATAGGAAAATGCTTTGTAATTATTACTCAAAGTGAAGTGGCAGTAGTGAAAAGATTGATTTGACTACTTAATACATCAAACGTTTTTATGGTCAAAGCACCCAGAGTCAAAAAATAGCTGATAAAATGCAAGAAAATATTCACATCAAATGCTGCAAGCCAAAGGCTAGTATCTCTAATGCATAAAGAACTTTAAAAGTTTATAGACAGGATTGATATGCAGCTCATTGTGAGAGCATACCTGGAATGTGTAAAGCTCTGGTTTCAGTCCCCAAAACTGGAAAAACACGGAGAGGCAAAAGATCAAAAAGTTTATAATGGTATACATTGTTCAACAAAAAGGAATATAAATGGCTGTCAAATGGGAAAAATGCTCAGACTCACTAATGACTAGAGAAGTATAAATTCAAACATTTACCTGGCATATATTTTCACTATTTAGAATGACAAAAATTAATATAAAAATATGACAAATTTTGTTGATGAGTATGAAGAGAAATAGTCACTCTCTTGCTGATAGGAATTCAACCCAATGAATTTGGTAATACTTAAGAAAGTACATATTTACCATTTGGTTTAGAAGTTTGATTTTTAAGAAACTGTCATAGGAAATAAAATGATTGAGTAGCAATGAGCAGCAAAATGCAGCCTCTGGGACCAGAAATCAGACATCTGGAAAACAACAACTTGGTGTAAAGACAATCACTGGCAGATCTCTAGGAAATGGAAAGGAATTGACAGGAAAATTGGAAACTGCAGATAAGCTGCAGAAATATAGCAATGCAGAGAAAAGAATTAAGCATTCTGGAAGCTCACTGTGTCCCCTAGGGAGAAAAAAAACATAATGAAGCGAGGAGGTTTACTCCAAAACTGATACCTGCAAGGCAGGCTAAAGTTGGAGGAAAAATTCAATGCAATGTCCCCCCATATTTCTAAAGACTGTTTGTTCAGGAGCCATTTTGGGAAAGGATTGGTTATTTAAGACTGAGCCACATAACAATGACAGCTTCACTTTAAGGTTTCCAGTGTTATCGTCCCACACTGATTGGGTGAAAGATAGGCATGGGAAACAGTCTTGCAGAGGGTGAGCCTTAGAAGTAGACCATCTGAGAAATTTAATCTCAGGGTAGGAAAGACAGGGCTCCACACTCAGTGGTGAGACTTTAGGCCCAGCATGTGTCTTTTAGGGTTGGCTGGGTCTGAAAATGATGGCATTAATTTCTGAGTCAGCTTGAACCCTTGCCCTGCTGCCTACATCCAACACAAATCAAGGTCTGATTGCTTTTTCTATCTACCAGTGACAGCAAAGATATACACAGCCTGGGGTAAATGGACAGAGGGACCTCTGGAGCAGGGGACACCTCATAAATCACAGGCCATAAAACAAAGTGGAGAAAACCATCACTTGTTACATCCTAAAGCTATGTATTCTATAAAGAAGCAAGTCATTCAGAAATACAGAGGAATATTTTTTTGGACTCATTCTATATTGTTAGTAGGAATGTAAACTAATACAACCATGGTGGGAATCAGTATGGCGGTTTCTTTTTTTTTTTTTTTTTTTTTTTTGGTCTTTTTCATTTTTATCGGTACCAGGGATCGAACTCACGACTGCCTGCTTGCAAGGCAGGCGCTTATGCCGCTGAGCTAAATCCCCAGCCCCAGTATGGCGGTTTCTTAAGAAAATAAAAATACAATTCCATTGGACCTAGACCTAGCTATTTTCCTTCTAGGTATCTTGCTGAAAAAGCAAGAGACATTATATTATATTGACACATAGGTTCCCATGTTTATAGTAGCACAACTCATAATAGCTAAATCTTGGAATTGGCCTATATATCTATCAACAAATGAATGAATAAAGAAAAGGTGGCATTTGTTCACAATATAGTACTACATTACCATCAGGAAGGGTAATGTTGAGTCATTGGTAGGAAAATGCATGCACCTTGAGACCAGTATGTTAAGTGAACTAAATCACACACAGAACCTTAAGGATCACAAGGTTTCTCTTATATAAGAAATTCAAAATACAAATAAGGAGTAAAAATAATAGAAAATAGATCTTTTGCAAAGGGGAAAATAATCAAGAGATGAAGCAGAAGAGAAGAAAGTAATGGAAAAAAGAATTAAGGGGTGTTACGCATATCTACCAATTCATCAGACAAAATGTCATCATTATGTATTGCAAACATGCAATAATAAAAATCACAAAAAGTGAAGTTTATTTTGAACTGACAAAAGAACTTATCAAAAGGATACGTCTCAAATACATTAAAATGCATACTTTTGAAGATAATTACTGTAGCTTTAAAATTGCAAAATATTGGAAATAAATGTTCTTGAATAGCATAGTGGTTGAATAAATTATAATATATTTTTCTTCATCCAGTGGAATACCTTGTAGCTAATGAAAATAATGAGAAAGTTATCTGTTAACCTAACTAAAGTGATTTTTAGAATATTGTGTTAAATAAAAATAATAAAATGCAACAGAGCACTTGTATGGTGCTATCTTTCATATGAGAAAGGAGATATAAAAAAATAAATTTGTGTGCATATACCTTGTGTAAAAGAAATACAGGGGAAGTACACCAGAATCTGAAGAAATTAGTTACTTAAATAGGGTGAGTAGAAATTAGATGGAAAGGAAGGAGAATGAGAACAGAGTAAAATGGGTAAGGATAATACCTGTTTTAACAGTTTTGACTCTTAAAATCATATTTTGTGTATAAAATTTATGACCCTCACAGATTTAATGTTAAGAGAATGATTTAGAGCATACAGTTCTGGTTCTTTATGTGAATATTTTTATATACATTCCAGATTTATTTTTGCTCAATATTTTGTGTTGAAAGCATTGTGATATTACTTCCTAACTAGCCTCTCAGTTAAAGTGGAATACTATATTATTTAATAATATGTTAAAAGTACACTGCTGAGATTTTGTTTGCTTTTATTCTTTCGTTGAAGTTTTCCTTTTAAAAATTCTATGTTATTAAAAATTGCCTTAGGTGCGGTGTTGGGGTTTTATTGTTTTGTTTGTTTTTATTGTATTGTTTATTTTATATGTTTTCTCTATTTAGTCTAAGAATATTTACAAAGCAATATAGTACCTATAGAAAAGTGAAAATTGAAGTAATTACTATTTCATTATTTTCCTTTTTTTATCTTAGTTTTAGGTTGGCTTAAAATTATGCTGATTTATATAGAAGTATAGAGGTCGGTGACACAGTAGAGGCACAACTTTAATACCTTGTATATCTTGAAGGAATGCTAGTAAATTGTCTGAATATTAGAGATTGTGCAAAAATTTTGCAGTGTAAACTATGCCCACTTTTTGGTATTTTAAATCTTTGTAAAGCAGACTAGTAATTTAGTGTGAATATTGAGTGTTGATCATATTTTGTCTTGGAAGACATGCCTTTACTACCTGTAAAGTTTTAGGAAAAGTTTACCTTTCTTTTGGCTTTCTTACTTTTCAGTTAATTATTTTGTTTGTAAATTTGTTATCTTGTCATTTTTTGACAATGCTTTTATTACAGCAAAGTGAAGAAAATGATGGAGGATTCTTTTTGATAAATACTGATAATTATACTTTCTTTGAATTTTTACAAATTTAACATATGATTCATATACAATAAAATTCAGCTTTTCAAAAAGTATATCTTAATATATTCATAATATTGTATAACCATCACTTCCATCTAATTCCAGAACATCTTTTGTCATCCCAAAAGTAATTTTCTACTCTGTGCCTGTCAAGTTCATTTTCCTTTTTAGCAGGAACCTTTCTGTTAGCAACCATCCATTTTTCTTTCACTTTTATTCTGGAAATTTCATCTAACTAGCGTGTATAATTTATGGCCTTTTGTGTTTAGTTTTTTTCACTTAGTACAATGCCTTAAAGATTTTTTTCATATTGTTGAACTTATCAGTACCATCAGGGACCTGGCAGAGGACCACTACTCTCCAACTCAGTGGTATGGCCATAGAATTAACAGCGACAAGATATCTTAGTTGCAAGGGGCACCTAGATGGTCAAAGTGCATTAAGAACTAAGACCATGAAGCATGGTGTCTTTAGCCTTTGTTAGGTGCACAGTTTGATTGACAGTTGTGCTGGTGAGCTATAGGAAGTGGTGGGAGTGAACTGCTGACTTGGTCAAGGTTGAAGAATTGAGGGACAATGGAGTTTTGAAAAGCACACAGAAACAAACTAATAATTTGATTGTCTACTAACTAAGACTACTGAGCTAGGAGGGATTTGTACAAATCAAGTCCTCAGCTGCCATGTTATCTTGCTTTGAGGTGCCAGAACTTCTCAGTCTGTTTGCTAGTCTCAGCTCTAGGCATTGGCTTAACGATTAACCTGTCCTTATGCCAGCTATGGGTCTTACCACAAGTCATGTAGGCCTAGAACAGACTTTCAATTTATTTCTGTGCCAGTTTATTAATACTCATTACTGTCTTCTGTATACTGTGTCAAACTGGTCCTCAGCAAGTACTTTATTCCTTTTTATGTTCAAATATTATTCCATTGTTTGGATATATCAAAGCTTATTTATCTGTTCACCCTTGGTGGACATTTGAGTTGTTGCCACCTTTGAGTTATTATGAATAATTCTTGCATGAAAATCTGTATGAAAGTTTCATGTGGATGTTTTTGATTCTCTTGGTTAAATCATTAAAATTACTATTACTGGGCCACATATTTTAAAACTTTTATATCCATGCCTACTGTGTAGCATTGTGCCTGATACTGAGTAGATGCTTCATAATAATGTTTTGAATGAATTCAATCGTATAACAGAGGTAAGATGTAGTATTCACTCTTTTTTCTTTATAATTAAGGCTTTTTGAAATCAGCTTGATCATCTAGCTATCACAAAATCGTCATTCAAAATAGTTATGTTAATCTAGAAAAGAAGTGCTTCATTTTCTGAAAGTTTTTTCTCTACTATACATGTATTTTATTAGTATATATTAATCTTACAAAATATTACATTTCATTATGGTATGCATGATGATAACCATCCTGACTAGGCTGAAATAATATTTCAGTGGTTTCATTTGCATTTCTCCAATGGTTAAAAATGTTGAAACTTTTTTGTAATTATTGGCCATTTTTATTTCTTTTTAAAAGTATCTCCAGTTCATTCGCCCATTTTCATGGAATTATTTGTGGAGTTTGGAGAATTAATCTTTTGAGTTCTTTATATATTTTGGTATTAATCTTCTATGGGAAGAGTGGCTGGTATAGATTTTCCCATTTTGTAGATGATCTCTTCAGTCTGTAGTTTCCTTTGCTGTGTAGATGCTTTTTAATTTGATACAATCACATCTGTCAATCCTTGCTGTTATTTCCTGAGCTATTGGAGTCTTAGAGTCCGACTGAGGAAGTTATTACCTGTTTTTGTAACTTGAAATGTTTCTCTATATTGTTTTTACCAGCAGTTTCAAGATTTGGGTCTTACATTAAGGTCTTTGATCAATTTTGATTGACTTTTGTACAGGGTGAAAGAAAAACCTAGTTCCAGTCTTTTACATAAAATAAAGTTTTTCCAACATAGTTTATTAAATTAGTGTCTTTCTTTCTAGTGTAGGTTTTTGGCCTCTTTTTCAAGAACCAGATGCCTATAGCTGGTTTTTTTTTTTCCTCTGTCCTCTATTCTACTCCACAAAAAGTTTTTATGTATTCTAATCAACTCTTAGATATTAAGATATTAAAATTCTCTTCATATTTCTCATATGGATGCGTTGTAACTAGAGTGGTGCATTTCTCCTTTGTTTGTTATTTGCAATCATAAAAGTAAACTTATTTCTTTTTGAGCAAGCAGTGGTAGTGGGTGCAGCCGGTCTTGGTAGCATCTGCTCCTGCTCCTGACTCACTGCTGTTCAATCTTACTGAGGAACAAGTATAGTAAATCAGGAAGCCACACCATCACCTTGGAGTTTCAAGATACTGGAAAGACACCCGTAGAACCCGAGGTGATGATTCACCAAATTAGTATTACTGCACCACCTGGAAAAGGTGTGTGCTGACTTGATCAGACGTGCAAAGGAAAAGAATCTCAAAGCGAAAGGATCCGTTCCCATACCTAAGACCTTGAGAATCACTACAGGAAAAACGCCTTGTGGTGAAGGTTCTAAGAGACGGGATTGTTTCCAGATGAGAATCCAAAAGTGACTCATTGATTTGCACAGTCTTTCTGAGACTGTTAAGCAGATTATTTCCATCCGTATGGAGCCAGCAGTGGAGGTTGAAGTCACTATGGCAGATGCCTATGGCAACTGTTTTAACAAACTGACCATCAATTGTTAAAAAAAAAGTAAACTTAATTTCAAGGAAATGGTAAATTGGGTGTGCATCTGCTTGGAGATGTGATATTAATTTAATTATGGGCAATGTAATTCAAACAATATTTATTGAATGTCCATTGTATGTAAGAAGCTGTTGAGTGCTGGGGATGAAAAGATAAGATGTCATAACATAAAATTACAACAATATATTTCTTGACTCTTTAAATAAAATATAAAGTAAAACAATATAAAATTCAAAAGTATGAATGAGACTTATTTAGAAGATGAATTTTAAGGTTACAATCATTGGGATCAAATTCCAACTTAGGTACTTGCTGGATCTCAAACATAGAAATCAGCTAGTCTTTTTAAGTTTCCATTGCCTTTGTGAGTGTTGATTGCTCTACTTTTAATATGAAATGTTCCTCAAAAATTCATGTATTAAAGAAGGATATGAGCAAGTGTGACCTATTTGGAAGAAGTAGGTTGTAGGGGAGTGTAGTCTCAAAGAGTGTGTTGGAATGCTGGTGCCTTTCTTTTCCCCTTCCTACCCTCGCTTGCCCTCTTTTCCCCTCCTCTCCCTTGTCTCTGTATCTTCTATGAGATGAGCAGCTTTATTCTTCCATAACTCTCTGCCATGATGTTTCTGATTTGCCACAGGTCCAAAAAAGATGGAGTTATTTGACTACCTACCAAAATTTCTGAAACCATGAGCCAAAATAAATTTTTCCTTTTTTTTTTTTTTTTGTGGTATCAGGAATCAAACTCATGACCTCGCACTGCCAGGCAGGTGCTTGTGCTGCTGAGCTAAATCCTCAGCCATTTTTCTTTTTCTTAGTTGTTTTTTTTCTAGATATTTTGTCACAATAATGGAAAACTAATAGGAATAATATTACCTACTTTATAGAACTTTTCTGATGATTCAACAACCCAATATATATTTAACTGCCTAGCATACACATGATATTTGATATGCTAAAACATATGTTAGTGTTGCAAAAGTGATTTTTCAAACCTTTTCTTTACTTGTTGACTTGCCATCTCAGTGTGTGTTACCTTACTGGCAAGTCACAGTTACATGTGATGCTCTTACCAGTCTTTCTCCTCCAGGGTATATGATTCTATCTCTGCTCTTTTTGATTCTTAGCCTGGTAGAACTTTTTAACTAGCTTCTGACAGATGTTTTCAGTGCTGATTGCTTTCTTGGAGTCCCATAAGGGATATTACCAGAATGTTTATAATCCACATCTTCTTTAGTTCTATGGGGAATTAAAATAAACATAACATTAAAACATTCCCCGATAAAGTAGACATAAATGAAATTAGTTTTCACTCAGAAGAACAGAGCTTCTATTTTTCCCTATCACTTCAGTATTTTTGTAATTCTTTTAATGATTAAGATTTGTGGTAAATATGTTCATGCTTTTAGTTGATGGTTCAGACCTTAAAGAATACAAGGTAAATTGACAATTCAAAGTAGAATATTTTGAGGAACATAAAGATTTATAAAGTTGGTAAAAACAATATTGAATAATGTATTTACTTTTTTAAAAGAGATTAAAACCAAATGAGACAAAACAAAGTGGATTCAATCAAAACAAAAGGATGAACATGGTATCTGACTTAAAAACAGAATACAAGATCAATAATGACTACCATAATGCCTCTTGTTATCTTCAAAAGAATTTCCCATATCTTCATGCATAATAAAATTGAGCAAAACTGTACAGAACAAAACCAATAAAAACCAAACAATGGAGACATTATAGGACTTCAAAAGAAGATATGAGTCAAACCACAATGGGCATTGTAGTGTATCTTACTGTCTTCAAAATAGTTGCCTATACCATCAGACTTCATACCATCAAACAAAACAGAGTAGAATAAAGTCAGTCAAAACAAAACAATGAAAGCAATACAGGGCTTCAAATCAAGCTTTGATTAAAGATGGTTACCATAATATATCCTGCTACCTTTGGAATAGCTGTCTATGCCATCAAATCTAATACAG